GGTTAGTTAAATTGATTGAATAAAATTGATAAAATAAAAAATTTTCCTCACAAAAAACGTCCAAATATGCAAAAACTAAAAACAGAAATTATGCAATGATAGCTGTAAATGTAGCCTTTTTTCATTCATATACCCACTGATATATAGTTGGACAAATCATGAAAGGGTTTGTGTCTTACAGTTATCTAGAGTATTGAGAAATACACAGTCTACTGGCATTTGTAAACATAAATGTTCTTAAACCTATTAACAAACTCAGCAAAAAAAAAAAAAAAAAAAAAAAAAAAAAAAAAAAAACTTTGTGTTCAATCCAGAAAGCTCTAATATAAACTTTTTGAAGATTTTGGAAGGCTAATTCTGTTACTAGAGAATCAACAAACAGGAATAAAGACACATACAAATGTACAGTACGGAGTAAAGCAATGCGGTTACTGCAAATATGCTATTGTTGCTCTAACTGATTTTTGATTATTAACTTTATTGATTTCATTCATGGTGTTAAAATACATGCTGTTAGTATGTTAGCAATCAAACAATGAACCTAGCTGAGGTGTTTTAGAAACAGCTTGTTTAATGTACATCTGTGCTGATATGATAATTAGCAATGTGCTAATTACCTTACACTAAAAGCCTCTAAGGCAGATCACTTCTATTCATTTCCAGATGGGATGTAATTATTGACCAAGATATGGTTTAATAACCAATGATTGATTCTGATCAGGACAGTGATCCAGTGTTTCAGATTAGATCAGTACACCATGAGTCATTGCACTGAAATAACCTATTAGGATTAGCTGCAACCTTTGCTGCTGTATGCTTTCAAGCTTAATACAAACATCCGTTTGGTTTTTGCTCTAAAACCTGATGCAAAACAAGCAGGTGGTTTGCAGGAGTATAAAACCACCATCTAAATTTAGTAATGCGGTGCAATGTTTACGTGTCAGTTGGTAACCCTACCTGGTGCTGTTAATTATTTCTTAAAATCGTAGGGAAGTCATATTCAAATTTTAAATCATTCTGGCTCTGTATATAAATGTACTCTTTATCAGACCATTTTGTCCCAGAAGTTAGAACATTTCTATTTAAAAAACATCCCGTCTTAAAATCTATATGGGTTTTTTCATTATTTTATGCAGGCCAGGTAGTTATACGTCAGCCTGTACAACTAAATTCGGGCAATCATATATCAAAGGTTATTTGTCAATCAAATTTTTCCGGTGATAGCACCTTGATTCATATATCGCAGCTAATATACGCAACGGTTGAAATGAGAAATAAGAATCATTTAATTTACCATTAAATTACGTCCCAGTGTTCGTAGGGATGGACATCTGTGTCTTCGGCAGGCTTAGAGCTAACAGAACTGGCAGCGCTGCGAGGCAAGGGCCCAAACATGTACGGCAGCCTTCTACACCAAACCAAGCTTCTGCTGCCCTGGCGTTCTCTTCCACAACTACTTCGTCCCTGCTTTCCTCCTCTAAATAAAAAATGTATGATGAAGGAGACTCATCCATGACCTCCGACACAAAACTCTCCTCCTCTTGCATGTTTCCACTGTCCATAGCGTTCCTTGACAGTGTCGTTGCTAAGTGCTACTTGGTTCCAATGCAATTTCCAAATGGGAACCTATTAGCACGAAGTTTCTAGCTGGTTAGCAAGATGCTTTCGACAAACCGCCCACAACCACAATGCTTGCAGACCTTCTGCCACAATAATCAAGCCCCCTTGATAATCGACTAATCACATTCACTTTATACACTTGTGTAAAGTCGGGCACCTTCGGGAGAATTCGTAAATGAAAGAGTTGGAACAGCAACTTCCCTACGACTTTAAGGCCCCCATTTCAAAAGATGCACCCATATTTGCATATGCAAATTAGAACTAGTGAATTCGATCAAAATTACCAAAACTGGTCAAATTTGTCCGAAAAACATAAAAACATGGAAGGATTGGAATGAAAAATATTGCTAAGGAATGAATTTACTACTGAAAAAAGAAATTAACCTATTGTATTATGTTATAACTAAAAGACACTTGCGAAAGTAAAACATTCCTGCTTTTAATTCTGGGGTCAGTGTTAGAATCTGGGCTTCTGAAATAGGTTAGATCCCTCTGCAGAAGTATCGTAGGCTACGTTCACACTGCAGGCCTTAATGCTCAATTCTGATTTTTTTGTGAAATCGGATTTTTTTGCGTGTCCGTTCACACTTCCAAGTATATGCGACTTGTATGTGATCTACTGTGTGAACTGAAAGTGTTCAACCAAAGTGTCCCGCATGCGCACTCGAGGACGCGATGACGTCACATCAAGCAAGCGTCCTCAGTGTTTGCGGAAGTAAACATGACTCGTAATACCGCAGCGTATATTGCGTTCTTTAAGTTATTCTCCAACAGGAGCAGGCACATTACGAACGAAATCTTTTTAAGAAGATCAAAAAGAAAGACCCGGTTCCGGTAAGACCCTTCGAGTTTGGTCTGAATCGAGCTATCTTTCCAAATATGAATTAAGTCAGCAACCTCACTTTCTCTCTATTGACTGCTCTCTGTGTTATCTTCCGCCATGGTTGTTAGTTTTTCCCACCTCCGCTTAGTAGGACGCAGATTAGTAACGTTTAGTAACATTTGTCAAGCATCAATGACGTGTAGGTCGGATGAATGCGACCTGGCCGTACAGACACAGGTCGCATTTGAAAAGATCAGATACGTATCGGATTCAGGACCACATATCCAAGTGGCCTGGGTCGCATTTGAAAAAATCCGATCTGTGTCGTTCAGACTGTCATAAAAAGATCAGATACAGGTCACATATGGGCAAAAAAATCGGAATTGGGTCACTTCAGGCTGCAGTGTGAACGTAGCCACAAACTCAAGAAAAAGAATAACTAAATCACAAGGTTTCGGTGTACTTTGCTTTTAGAAAAATTGACAGTAAAATGATATATATAATAATTTTGGTCTGTTGACATTCATAAAGTGGACAGGTTACAAACGTTCATCAAACCACAAACCTCTTAGTGAACATCTGCTAGTAAATACAGGGGAGTCACATGTCTTGAGTGGGGAATGACTGTAATACAGCAAATTACCTTTAAGAAGCATGAAGGAGTTTTCTAATAATACTGCCACCTGTGGCCAAAATACAGAACTGCAGCACTCTTCTGCCCGTTCTCGTAGCTCACACTCATACTTGACAAGTTATTTTTTTCAACCTTACCCGAAGTTGCTATTGGTGTCTGAGTTGAGCTGGATGCCGGTCGCCTCTGAATATCTATCTTTAATATAATGTTTTGATAAATCTGCTAGATTGGACCCATTTGACATGGAGGGCGGGGGAACTTCCAATCCGAACCGAAGTAAATTCAGGAAAGCATCAACGGTGAACTACAATTTTTTTTGTAAAAACTTACAAAATGTCTCTTTTACATTTATCTTAAAATGGCCAATATTTTCTTTTCTTTCTTTTTTTTGTTTTTTTGTTTTGCAAGATAGAGATTTGGGGGGATATATCATTAACTACTAAAGCCATAAAAGAAAAAAAAACAGTTCTGTGTTTTTCATGTTTTACTGTAACAAGTGGCCCATAAATGTAGAAGTGCTTGACACTACTGGAAGGAGGTGAAATCTGAAGAGGGTGGAGACTAAAGGAGCAAAAAGCCAGGTTGTAACAGCAGTGACTGAGATCCCAGTCCACTGAGGTGGGCGTGTCTCTCAGACTGCTGCTGCAGGTCCAGAAGTGGCCCTTTGGGTTGTGGGGTGGCAAAGACTGTGGCATTGCTGCCCCCTCAGGGGCTTGGCCCTTCTGCCACCAAGGAGAGTCCGTGCAGTGTGCCACGGCCTCCTGATTTGGGTGAGGTGAGTCAAAACCTGTTAACATGACTGGTGTCCCCAGTTTGACACACTGTGCCGTCCGACGTGGCCATGTGCACATGAATGTTATACAAGCGTGTATGTGAGTGAGTGTGTGTGTATTTGCCTGTTCTCTTGTCCTCCTGTCCCTCCCAACCCTGCCAGCACTCCCTTTCCTCTCATCCAGATAAAATCCTTTCAGACACAAATTTCAATTATTCACCTCATCCAAATAATGCCATGTGACAAGAATTATCCCTACTGTAATAATCCACTTAACTGGGAAAGAGCAGCTCATCAAAAAGAGAAAAGAGAAAAGGGGGCTGGAAGTGAGGAGGGCGGTGGAGGGACTTGTCAGCCGGTCTCGAATCAGGACCTTCACAACAAGAATTTCTTCCCTTTTTTTTTGAGGAGGCAGCCTTCAAGTGCGCCGGGATGATGAAATTGAAGTAAATTGAAAGAAAGCCTGGGAGAATGCTCCCACAATCAATAAACGCAGGATTAAATTAGCCTTGGCATGAAGGGATGATGGGGGAAGATGAAGAGTGAATGGTGGTGAATGACATTGAGACATGCTGGCTGAACAATACAACCTGGGTGTTGTGCCCATACAAGGACAATGAGTGTACCTGGGACGTATTCCATCACATTTAGGAGCAAGAACATGGCTAATAAACACTTCTCTGAAATCATTATCAGAGGACTACTGATTGTTTATCGTTCAAAGAAGTCAAGGCTAGTACTCCAACCTGAACTACTTATTTGAACATGCATGAAGGACTCTGGCATCTTTCTATGAACTGTTTTCTAACAACGCTAATATTTTAAGAAAGCAAATCAAATCTGTTTTTGTTTTAAATCAAAGACATAATATTATTGTAACATAATATTATATCAGTTTCTTCTTTTTTTTCCTTCCCATTTACAAGGAGGAGAATAAAAAAAAGACGGTTATCTCCCATTATATCTAAGGGAAACAACTGTGATCCAAAACTGACTGTGGACTGGACTGCTTTTAAAATATCGGAGCAATAATTTCTGAGCATAACAAATGTTATTAAAGCAATTTGATTTAGGTACCTGTCTGACTTACACTTCCATTAATTCCGAGGTTTTAATCAAGTATTTGAAGTCATGAAGTTCTGACTCCTTACCAGTGCTTCTCTGGGCCGAGCTCCCCCATCATCTCCTGGAGGAAGAACAGACTGCAAAAGAGAAACAATAAACAGTGTTACGCTGCCATCTGCTGGACAACACGAGAAGCAATGACGGTTTAACTTGGAACAAGATGCTCATATTTAGGTATAATTTGTTACATTTGCAATAAATAAACAGGGTATTTTATATGAAGTAAAAAAGTCCATACAAATGGGGAAATTCTACCTAAATTTTATTAATTTAACCCAAAAACTTACAATGGAAAAAGTAAATGTCTGAACATAAATACCTACTTATTAAATAATAGAGAAAATACACACATTATAATTGCTACACCCCCTATACCACTTTCAGTTTAATTTTCAAATAATTTGAACTATTTATGTATATGTATATGTATATATACACACATTATTTTAGGGCTGCAATTGATGATTATCTTGCTTATTGATTAATCTGTTGATTCTTTTTTAGATTAATAATCTGTACACTACTGGATCTCAAAAAACAGAGTACCTCCCTGAAATGTATATTTAGTTAAATGTTTTAATGTGACATCAGTGAAGACATGACTCTTTAACACAGTTTAGTCAGTGAACAGCTTGTATAACAACGTAAATGTGCAGTCCCTGAAAAGTGACTCATCAGAACATCAATTAATGTCTAAACCACAACAGCAAAACTGAGTACACCTCTTAGTAAAAAAATGGTTCAAATTCTGCATTAATCATCGATATTTTCTGTGCTGCAAATATTTCCCAGCACAGGAAATTCAATAGGAAACCAAGAACATATGCCTGTCATCTGAGGCTCTTGCTTGGCTAAAGGTATAGTGGAAGATGAAAACACCAGCCCCCTCCAATAAAAAAAAAAAATGCACATGCACAACCCTGTACCTGCTCCTGAGCGCCTATTAAACATATGCAAGAGCATGAATGAGCCCATTTCTCCTCGTGCACGCTCTGTTTAAAACTTACAGTTTGCATCGCTCATACAAGGTTACTTTCCAAAAGATTTGCAATTTTTCCACTATGTCAGACTCACCACCAGTAAGTGAAAATGGAGACAAGCACGTAGGACGGCCTTACACAAATATATCACCAGAATGATTGACAGTTGGGAGGACCACCTATTTTGATGATCCACCTGAATAAAAAAAACCTTGACTATATCTTTAAGTCTTCACTAACCATCAAAAGCTTGATTGATACTCGCCCTCGCTTTGCACCTTTTTGAAGATGCCATTTCTGAGACCTATCATGGAGCTACTAGGATGTCCCAATCCCTGAGCTCCGTCTAACCTCACTTCAACCTACTATTCCTATTGGAGCAGAAAAACTTAGTGTCGATTTCGGCATCATAATCAGAAGTAAATATAAAATATTCATTTATATGCAATATATTTTTTTCTGTCATAAAAATGTATGCATTTATTCTGCGCCACTCAATGTGTTCTTTAGATCTGGGGTCTTCAACGTTTTCCAGGCCAAGGATCCCCAAGCTGAAGGTGAGATGGAGCAGGGACCCTCTAATTATATATATTGTATGAAACTGGTCCTATAGTCACTCTGCTACAGATGCTGTCATGTAACGAAAGTAATTTCTCCCTGGGATTATTAAAGTATTTCTGATTCTGATTCCTGGTTGATGGGACAGGTGTTGTGAATGAAACGGTGCCTGGCTTGAAAGAGCTCTTGTGTGTCGCTGAATGTGTGCATTGATGACAGGAAGACATCTTCTGCCTCCATTTATCTGTTCACTACAGTGTGTTGAATTCATCTTAATGCGTATTTAAAGACATTACAATAAATTGAAAAAATTGCAGGGGAGAATATAATTTTTTTTTTTTTTGTAAAGACACAAAACACTTTCACTAGTGTTGCCAGCCATTTAGACATAACCCTTACAATGTTCTTTAAACAGTACCAAAGTGTCATGTCTTGAGTGTCCTTCCTTGTAAAGACTTAATACAGTATTCACAAATACTTAGAAGCTGTAATAACTTTTAGAGAAAATGTACCTACAGTATTGATCAGGTAAACTTAGCTGCAAAGAGATAAATAGACAACCCTGAAATGTTTAAGCCCCCCCTTTTCTATAATTGCAACAAATTCCTCAAAAAACAACAGACATCCTCCTGGTTCCTTTTGAATGACCTTAACATATCATCACAACCCGTGACACAAATAAGCATGACTACATGTCAAAGCAAACAACTTGGCAAAGTGTGCGTGTTATAAATGACAGAGCAGGTAAAATAAACAAGCATTTAATCTGTGAAACAATGTGGATAATCCTTGGACTCATATATCCACTTCCTAAACAGCAGTTTGTATGAGAGGAAACTTTGAATCCGTCCCTCAGTTAGCATGCTACCTAGCAAGCATGCTAACATCCGTAAGCTGAACAGTTATTGAAGTAGCCACTTGTAGGGTTTATGGGTAAGAGCAACATATTAGCAGTACATTCGAGAAGCTCCTATGATAATTATGAAAAATAAAAGAGGTACATGCTGGGTGAGAGACAAAAAAAGACCTGTGTTGGTGGATCAGGTTGTTCGGTGGATGCCATCTTGCTAGCCCCAACCGACAGATCGATGAATCCCGCTCTATTGCTTTTCCTGGAACAGGCTCTACTATCGTGCACACAAATCCCTTTGGTTTAGTTTACTCAGGTTTACCAAAATTAGGATTTATTTCAAAAGTGGCTTAATTGCTGACTATCTAGCAAGCTAACAGCAATGCTGTACTTAAAGTACTTTGTTTTCTTCAAGAAGTTACTCAAATAGTTAGTCCAGCTTATGCTGCTGACTATGAAAATGTTAATAGCAAAATATTGGTTGTTTATTATCCAGGTGCACAGTATTGATATTGTTAAAACACTCTGCAGTACAGTATTTCGTTTGTTTTCTAAAGTCCACATTGTTTGACCATTTTTTTCTATCATAATTATGCAGCTGTAACACCAGAATTTCCTCATTGTGGGACGATAAATTGATTTCTATTCTATAAATAAATGTAACTGACTACCCATCTCTGGAATTATAATTCAATTGTATAGAGAAAGGCCTGCCAGCGACTGTGGGAAATGCTGTGCAAAGCAGGCAGGTAAAGGGAGGACTGAGTAAGGTGATTAATGAGGCTTTTTAAGCAGGGTGGGGTTAGAACAATATTATGGGCTTTGATGAACTCATAGCTGTGCTAATATAGTTTTGCACTTCAGAACAAGCACTATCGTGGTCGTTTTGACATAACATGCATATGGTTACACCCATTTCTTTTACATTTTCTAGTTTTGTGTTTGTCGTATTTTTTTTCTTCAAAAAAACAACAAACAAATGTCATGGCAAGGAAAGCCAAGTATTTCAGTGGCAATAGTGCTACACAAGAGAAAAGAAAAAGAAAAAAACCCGAATAAAACAGAATATTGCATTCCAAAAACACCCTCACTTCCTATAAAGACACAATAAAGACTTCAAGGAAAATGTATACCGGAATGCAAGTGGGATAAAAATGGAAAAATTAAAAGTTAAAGGTTAAATGAAAATATATGTATTTTAGATGAATAATTGATAAATTGTTGGAGAAATATCTTCTTTTTAATATTGTGTTGCATTTAATGGCACACAAGTTCATATTAATAGTTACTGTTTAAAGCAATTGTATATTATTAAGGATTGGTAAATAAATAATTTAAGAAAAAAAAATCATAGTCAAGCCTAGTTATATATATATATATATATATATATATATATATATATATATATATATATATATATATATATATATATATATATATATATATATTATATATATATATATATATATATATATATATATATATATATATATATATATATATATATATATATACAAGTATTTGAAAAAAAAGGACTGTAATAATCTATATTACTATATTAACGTAGTGACTCAATTGAACTACATGTCCCATCATGCATAGCGCTCAAGTGGCGGTTCCGTGTTAGAAAAGGTAGAAGTAGCCTAGTCGGAAGCTTAGCATCGTGTTTCTCAGTTTGTAAGTTAAAAACTTAAAGTTATCAAAGTTTTCTAATCGTTGGGTTATAATGTCAGATCGGAGGCCTTGCAAAGTGTGTGACTTCACGCGGAAGAATTCTTACGGCATGGTTGTTGCTACGTTAGAGGAGCTAAAGAGAAAAGGTAAGCTGACCTGAGTGAAACATCTCTAAAGAACTGAATTCCTAGAGTTTGTTATCTGATGTTTGGATCAGATTCAGAAAGTTATAGTGTTTTTATGCTGTGTTCGTCTTCTCCGACAGTCCTAAGGGACAAAATAACACACTAGAAGTGAAATAATCCAGCTCTGGTGTTCCCTTGTGATCCCCAGAACCCGTGGTGCTTTTTTCTTTTACTGCTTAGCAACATAAGTCTCACTGATGATCACACAGGCTGTGTGCAGAAACAAGTCCATCACAGTCGTGTTCTAACCTGCGAGGCTTAAACTTAAAAAGTCAGTCCTCTGTCTGCTTTCATTCCTAGATTGTCAAAGTTCTGTAAAATCAAGGACAACATGAATCAAACGCTCCTGCTCCTGTTACCAATTTACTCTTTTTCAAAACAAAATAGCTTGAATTTTGCCATTGTTTGACAGTGCATATTATGACAACATAGATTCCCTGTTTAAATCGCTGCCATTTCTTACACCTTCCCAAGCAGGTTAAGTCAGCATACAAATACTTTAGAACAAGCTAAGTATAAAAGGCCAGGTCTGCTGGCAGGTTTCGCCCTACAGCATTACTAAAGCACTTTGCATCACGAGAAAGAATGACCTTTAATGCATTATTTCCAAAAACAAACCATTCTGGAAAGAGTCTCCCTCATACTGTGAATAAAAACACACACAAACACCCCTTTTATTCAGTTACCCTTGAATCAAGTCCAGTTCTTCTAGAAGATGCACAGTCAGTCCACAGTATTAGATCACTCTCCTCTAAAGCTGAGCTTTGTTAAAGCAGCGTTACCTTTTAAAAACATTGGATATCTCAGGGGCCATTGTTAGAACCTTTGTCTAAAATCCAAAAGAGTACCCAATGAAGACCTGGCCATTCTCCTGATGGTCAGGGTTTGGCAAAGGTATAATTTATCAGAGACAAACATCCATTCATGCACACACTTAAGGAGAATTTAGAGAAGCCAACTAACCTAACAGTCACGTTTTTGGACTGTGGGAGGAAGCCGGAGTACCCGGGGAGAGCCCATGCATGCTCAGGGAGAACATGCAAACTCCATGCAGAAAGACCCCGGGCATCGAACCCAGAACCTTGTGGTTGCATGCAGCAGTGCTACCCACTGCGACACTGAGCAGCCCCCTTCTTATTGCAGTTCAGTTTATTTATTATATAGCGCTATTTCACATCACATATACCGGTAATCTGAAACCACTTTATAGAAAACAATGCAGTCAGATTGGTTAAAAGTTTTTATCATGAATATAACCAGTTTAATGCATTGTGTTTTTCAACCGGGACAGTAAAGCTGGTCAGAGATGATGGGAAGATGAAAACAAAAAATCCATCTTCAGAAAACCACTGTAAGGGTTCAGCTATGGCTCTGACCAAACAGCCAGAACCAGAACTATATCTGAATTTTTTAAGACAAAGCCTTGGGCAAAGTCCAGGCTGATACTTTTCAGATTTTAATAAAATAGTTTGTAAACTACTCGCCTTCTTTGATTTCACAATTAGCTTTCTACTTTTTTGCTGGTATATATTGTATAAAAACCAACTGAAAAGTGGGATAAAGAGTTAAATCTTAAAGGACATAAATGCTCTTAGTGAACAGATTCCTAATTATTTTGCAGTGATGCAGGATCGATGCCTAATTTGTAGCAATCTATTCAGCGTAGTTGTTTGGGACTGTAGCAAGCCGCTGCCTTCAGGCGCGGCCATCTTGGATCCAAAAAAATATTATATTACATTTGATCATTGCCGCACTCTATGGAATGGAAATGTTAATTTACTGTCTGGAAAGCTGTACTAAATGAAATTTTATACACTCTGTGTATACAAAATGACAATAAAAGTCTAAGTCATTGTTTTGTTGTTTCTTTGTGATTATTTCAGTGATGTATGACTTGGTAGATTCAGAGCTTTCTTTAGCAAAATGTTATTGAGTTCACTGTACATCTGTAAACTTGAAGCGGCTCTTCTTCCAACAGGATGTGAGCTTCTTGGAGTGAACCCAACTGAACCTGTCACTGTCGTTCTTGAGACTGATGGAACCATAGTCGAGGATCAAGCCTACTTTTTGTGTTTACCTTTAAACACAAAGTTCATGTTGCTGCATGACAAAGAGACATGGGCTCCAGCTCGAACAAGTAAGCCTTGCAGGATCGTTTATCTTAAGCCTGAATGGATGGATTCCTGTTATTCTGACAGAGATATCCTCATCTTTTGTCTCTTCATGCAGTTGATGGTGGCACGGCTTGGATGGCAAGAGAGTCTTTGATTCTGGAAGTAGATGCTGTCGACTCCTCCGCTGTTACACCACCGTGGTGGAATCTGGCGCTGCAGCTGAAGCAAGACCTGACCAGTATCATTCTTATGTCTGAGGGAGAACTACAGGTACGGACAGGATTTCACTCCAGATTCCTGTCCTACAGATCAGATATGAGGCTGTATAAAAAGAACCCCACATCAAATAGTTCTTCCCCATTTTAAGTGGTTGTATTGAATAATAATGTCAACATTTAATTGATTTGTTAAAGAAAAAAAAAAAATATAAATATATATATATATATATATTTATTAGTGCTGTCAAAATTATCGCGTTATTAACGCGTTAACGCGAGGCCATTTTAACGGCGATAATTTTTTTAACGTGAGATTAACGCTATGTGGTTTTATGGTACAATTTTCCAAGTACATCCCGCTGCAGCCTGCGGGAAGGCGGGGCTATTTTCCCCCAGTGTATGCATTTCTCATAGGCTTCGAGAGCGGAGCACCTCAAGGGAAAAAGACGCTGATACACTGGGTGACGCTAGTGCCTTTTCTTTAAGCCCCACCACCAACAAACAAGTTGAGTGTCTGGTAACTAGTAGCAACCTGAAATACGCTGAGAAAACAGATTACTGAGGTGAAATGGAATCTGCTACGGCACTCTTGCCGCATGTGTACGCCACAGCTCGGTATCGCGTGTGTGTGTGGGTGGGTGTGTCTGTGGGTGTGTGGGTGTGTGTGTGTTCTCATTTTTGTTAAGAGGCTGAAAAGTAACTTTCTAGAGCATAGAACCTCCATCTAGTGATGTCGGTCTATTGATTTTGATGTATTGATTGAAAATTGTTCATTATTATCTTGGTTAATTAACATCTAATGTTAACTACTGCATTTTATAGCAGTTGGGTAAAATGCTTGTCTTTGTTCAAAAGACTGTATTAACTGTAAAGACTGTCATTTACATCAGCCTGTTTTCAGGGCCTTTTTTTTGGCTACATATTTGTTATTTTTTGCTACATGCCTCCCCATCTTCTTGCCATATGTTTCTATGGCATAAATCAGTATCTGTGACCTGTTTTCATTTTAAAAAAAGAACATTGGCACAAACCTAGCCTGTATGTATTTTTTTGTATGTCATCGAGAGTATTTAAATTATTTTCAATCAGGAAAAAAATGTGCGATTAAAATGCGATTAATCGCGAGTTAACTCAGGCATTGATGCGATTAATCGCGATTAAAAAATTTAATCGATTGACAGCACTAATATATATATATGTAATTTTGAGAAACTGGACTTTTCTCTTCCAGTCTTTAGTCGATGCGCCATGCTCTGAATTAGCCTCTGCTTTGGGGTTCCAAGAGAAGAAGACCATAGAACTTCAGGAGACGCTGCAGAGGGTTCTGGATCGCAAAGAGGAGGAGAGGCAGTCCAAACAGCTGCTCCAGCTGTACCTCAAAGCTGTGGAGAAAGAGGACAGACTGGAAGGTATGGCAGATTTTGGGTGCTTACTTTTTTTACTCTACTGTGGAAATGATGTAGAAATTATAAATGAAAATCAATGGAGTTTGGAATATTTTTGCTTTCTAACATAATAAAAAAATTCCATTTCATTTGAGGTAAAGATGCTGAACAGAACCTTCTTAGTTTTCAGCACAATTAATAGATCTGGAGAAATAACAAAATAAAATGTGATTTCTAGACTTAATCTCCTTATCCACTGTCAAAAGTTTTGCCGATCTTTCTGTCCTTTCTTTCTTTCCTCGCTCCTTCCATTACATCCTTCCTTCTTAATTCAAAAACTGTCATGGGATAAATATTTTCTTGAAAGACAAAACCACAATAAGAAGAAAAGCAATTCATTTTAAGGTGAATTTAAATGCCCAGATAACATTTCCTTAATAAAATGCTGTCTCTTCCCTTTGATCACAGTGCTTAGGTTGCACTTATACCCTGTGGTCACTAGATGGAATCATTGCTGCTGCTCAATAATCCCCCATCTTTCACTGAGGTCTGAAATCTGCTTCTGATAGAAGAAATGTCCTAATAAAAACAAGCTGTGTTTAATTTGTCAGCTGTTGGAGATGTGGATTCACCCGACGGGATGGAAGTGGATTCTGCATCTGGGTTCATGTCCAGGACGCTGATGGTCCTTAAAGGCAAAACCAGTCCAGAGACGAGACTGTCCACCGAGGATTTGCAGGTGTTGTGTTCTCACTACTCCTTTTTTTATGGAGGAAAAAAAAAATTATTAGAGTCTATTGCACATTTATGATGGGTGCATCAGAAAATCCAGACCTATCTAGAACTCGTAAATCCAAAAACAACGAGTATGTTGTTTATCTTGCTTTGTTCTTACTGGGGAAAACTTTATCCTATGAGATTTGTTTCTACATCCTCCCTTAACTTCACACATGCTCCACCCACCAGTTATATTTATCTCTGTATGTAAAGCAGTTTGACATTTAATTTTAAGCGATTTAGAAACTTTATTTGTTTGCACTAATGTGGAACATGAATGATTAATCACTAGGGGTTTGAATTGTCAGCAGGCGAAATATATTACTATTATTGTTAACTAGGCGTCTAAAATGATGAGAGTCCAGATATTCATCATTGTTAAACTTTATAACATGTTGTGATAACACAACCAAAGGTTTCAGTGTGTTTTTTTTCTCTGGCTTTTATTTTGAGAAACCAAAACACAAAGCAGCACATACCTCCTAATACAGTCATTTGTAAACTTCAATTCACTTAAAAATGAATTTCAAAACAGAAATTCAGTAGAACCTGCCTGGTGTGTCTTGGTACTATTACCCTGCTTTGAATTGTATCCCTCCTCTGTGTCTAGTTGTACTGTCCTTATTTAGGAACGGCGTCTCCACCTCATGATGCTCCCACCACCTCATGAGATGAACAGCTTTCTTTATAAAAGGATTTCTACTTACCGCTCCTCATTTAAGGACAGGATTATGGATTATGTGACTGGTAGTTATCCTGTCAACCTGAGCTGTTGATCAGGGCTCCTTTGGCCTAACTTGAAATCAATTTATCATTATCTTGCATTTTCATTACTATGCACTTCAGCTCTACCGATGATACCTTTGCTTTAATTTTTTTCATTAACGCGTGCACAGACCTGTTAAATCATTGGTTGTAGTAAAGTTTAATGCAACGTTTGCTTCTGTGTGCGAATAGGTGGTGGTGAGCAGAGGGCTGGAGGCCATGCAGCAGGTGCTGGGCTGGGATGCAGAGAGGACATCCACGCTGATGCAGGCCTGCCAAGCTGAACTGTCCAAGCGCCTGCAGCAGGTTCAGGCCATGCAGTCTATTAGCAGCACACAGCAGGATGGCAGCAGACAGAGGGAGGGTGCAGGAATGGCCACCCAAGGAAGCAGCTAGACGAGGATGTACCTGAGCAGGGACTGATAAGGATTCACACTAACCTGCCTCAGGATCAAGAGGATGGGCTTTGCTCTGTTTTGCTGTTTTTTACTACTAGAATACATGAATGTTAAAAACTGTGGATTTCTGCGTCTTTGTTGAGAAATCTGCAAAGCATTGAAGTGGTTGATGCCTGCGGAACAATTTTGGCTTTTTTTGCACAAATGTGTTAGGATTTTTTTGGTGTTTTTATTTGGATGGGTGTTAGGCTGGATGATGGAGAATCACATCCTTTGGAATATTAACAAACCATCACCCAGCATGATGTAACCCCAGACTGGTACGGCTTTTTTTTTTTTTTTGGAAGTTAACAAACGTCACCCAATTCCTGTCAAGTATCGAGAGCCAAATTTGCCACAATCCAGTAAATACTTTAAAGCATTCATTTTCATATTTTAAATCGTAACAAAAATTGGTAATATATGCATGCACAGATAAATGTTTGATATAATTATGCAAATATGTATATTTTATTACATTCTTAATTAAAGGTTTAAATCCTCTAAAGTGAAATGATTTGTTAAAACTCTGTGTAATTGTTGAAGTATTTTAGTTATTTCAAGTTGTGGTGTAATGGCACATGGTGAAAGAATCTTTACATGTGAGCATTACTCGCTAAAGTGAGTGGGCGGGACTAATACCTGTAATTAAAATGATTGATCTGCGGGGGGTTAACCAATCTAACATCAGGGTGTATTTGATTTGATCAAGGACTCTGGCCAAAAAGGCTACGAAATAATTAGAAAAATACTATATATATACTATACTACTAAATACTAAAACAATTATATATGATTAAAGCATGCAACGTGCCAAGCTATAATTAAATGGATTTAATACTTTACTTATTATAGTTTTTATCTAAGTGTAATACACGTATATATATTTGATAAATATTTTTCTGGATTCAGGCCATTGAAGCTCTCAATACTGGAACCAAAAAGATTGATTTTCTTTTTTTTTTTTCTTTTTTTTTTCTGATCCTCATGTTTTCCACTAGATGGCACTGTAATGGGTTCCTGCAAGGTTATAAAGAAAACTGATTTGACCAGTTTCTCCACACTAGCTCTTAAATCTACTCTAAGCATTTCAGTGTCTTTTGCATGCTTAGGCAATTAAAATTGAACCGTTATTGTAACGTCTTTAACAACCAGCTCCTCTAACATTGGGGGGAAAGTGTATACATAACATGTTTGGCTTGAAAACAGGGATTTTGATAGCTGATTATGGTTGCTGCATAATGTTTTGGTAAAGAATACTGTCGTTATCTGAGGTAAAAAATCAACTTAAATTTACCTTATCAAATCTAAGCAAGTTACATAATGTATTACATTGGCCTGAATTCATTTTGCTATCCATGCTTGTCTTATATTTAAATATGTTTTAGTTTTTGCGCTCTTGCAGAAAATGATGGTTTCTATTAAAGGAAAATTCTAGAAACTATTTTTTATTGTATGTGCTCTGGCCTCTGTGTTAATTTTTCTATATTGAGTTAGACTGGATAAATCGTTAACTGGTGAGTTTTATTTATCTTTTCTGAAAGTCAATTAAACTCTCTGTTCTCTAGGTCTGTGTAGCTTCTTACTTGATTTTCATTTGCTAAACTATTATTAATGTTCACATTCAATTTTTAAGGGTGAATTCGTCCAAATTGGTCAAAGGTGTCTTTTGTAGATATTAGGACATCCATCAATACTTGAAGATGTGCTTCATGTTTCAATAGGTAAAACGTTTTAACAGAGATATGACATTGGATTAGCAGGAGCAGCCCTTATTAAAGCAAAACTTTACATCATTTAGTTTCTTAGGATAATCGTGCAACATATTGACATTTTTTATCGATCAGTGGCAATTTGCTACATAAAAACTCTTATAAAAATGTTTAGTTTTCATAGAATAGAATAGATATTGCAGAAATAGATTTTTTTCATATTAGGTAAATGTCAAACGGAGCCAATCGCCTGAGCAGACTTGAACAACACTGTCAGAAACCGGTAAAACTAGCAGATTTGCATCTTCTATGTGTTCTCTGAATGATTTGAGTCTGTCTTATATACAAGCCTGATGTGATGGATTTGTGATGTAAGACTGTGTGCAGCTCCGCGTGACATGAACACGAGATGGATTTCCTGCGGCCCGTTTCCTCCTCCGTCTCTCTAACACTGAGTAAAAACAATGGACTCAAACATTTGTTATAAAGAAAGAGGTGCTCCATTCATTACTGTGTTGTAATCAGTGAGTGTTATGTCTTTGATAAAACATTTGAGCCTCGGCATGTTACAGCCTGTTGTTTTTTATCAATAGGTCTGAAGCTTGATTGTTTTTTGTCATTTTATTTTAGAATACACCAAAGCGCTATGGTGTAATGTCTGTATACTGATGTTTTCATGGTAAATAAAATGTATTTCCAGTTTCTTGTCAGCTCTGCATTGACCTCCTATTTTTTTTGTCAACCTGTGTGTTATGCTCCTGCATGAGTCAAGTCATAATGTGCATACGAGCTCTCAGCTTACTGCTGCTGGGGTTCTTCAACAGCTACTTAGTGGGATTCATGGTGTGCGTAATTCCTGTGAAACCGGCTGCACCTTGGCTGAACAGTTTGGCGAAGGCATGATGCAGCCAGCTGCACTGCGCTATCATGTGTCACACTGTCTACACTTTGTAAAAAAGGTGAAGGAAATGTGTTAATGGCTCGGTTCAAAACAGGAATCATGAAGGTGAGTAAACTGAATAATGTCATTAAAGTTTTTCAGTACTGAGCAGATGTAAGCCTTAACATTTTCATAGTTAGTCACATGACATTATGTTTGGATTTTATCCAATTGACCAACAAAAAGTGGTATTTGTTTAGCTACAGATGTGAGTTTCAAGTTTTTGGCAATAGGGTTAAATGATAAACCTAATGAAGGGTCTAATTTAACTCAGATTTGAGAAAAAGACTAAAATAATTTCATAATGTTGGAAGGGTGGAATAAAATGCCTATCCAACAAGTTCCCTTACCGCATTTTCACAGATTTTGCAACCCTATTGGATAATAAAATCAGGCTGCTATACTATTATTCAGTCCCCAGGAATCTAGCCTTTGCAGAACCACCTTTTTGGAAGCAATTACAGCTATAAGACTGATAGAGTATGTCAGCTTGTAAAGACTAAAACTTTAGTCATTCTTTTTTGGTAAGTATCACTAACAAATACTTAATGTTTGGCTGTGACGCCATCCTGGAAAGAAGCATCAGCTGTGCTGCTTCCATCAACACCCTTGTTTACAGATGCTGGAGATCGGCCTGTTTTCCAGTGTGGTCCTGTTTCTCTGACCGTGACTGAGTGGATGTGCTCTCTTCATCCTCTGGCATTGGAGCTGGCTCGGAGCTCGTCTGCCTGGCAGTGTGTTTCCTGGACAGGGCTGCCTTATACCGTTGCTTTTTGTGTCTCTGCTTCTGTCTCCTTGAACTCCAGTCGGCCTCAGCAGATGGCCGCTCAAACTGAGCCTGGTTCTGCTGGAGGTTTCTTCCTGTTAAAAGGGAGTTTTTCCTCTCCACTGTCGCTACAAGCATGCTTAGTGGGAGGGATTGTATTTCAGTCAATGAGTCAATGCAATCAACTGATTTTCCTTAGATAGAAAACTTAGTATCAATTTGACTGTATGATCTGGTTGAACTGTAAAGTGCCTTGAGATGACATGTGTTGTGAATTTGGCGCTATATAAATAAACTGAATTGAATTGAATTGAATTGAATTGAATTGAATTGAATTGAATTAATAAGCTTCTATATGCTGCGCATCATGTGCCGCTATATATCGAATCAAATTTAGGTCTATTCCATCTAAGCTGAGTCACAATTCTGTTTTTCATTGGGACAAGAAAGTGACATTCCAGGCTATTCTAATCCGTCCTTCCTTTTCTCCTCTATAAAGTTTATGAAAGTTTAAATTTAAATTCTTACAGCCTGCTTTTGGTAAGGTTTCTTTTTCCTTCTCATGAGACTTTCATGCTCCTCCAGAATTACATTGGATCAGATTGATTCCTTAATTGATGCTGACCTGATAAGGATGTAGGATGTACTCTACATGTTTTAGACTTAATGAATTTAATTGTGCTCTGGTGGATAATGTTTTATGTCCTTTATAGAAAACGCTAGCTCAGGAGGCCTCCTTTTTAACACATATAACTTTTGAAGTTTTTTTTTTAGGGCTATCTAATTTAACAGCATTTGATCCAATTGCATGACAACCGATGGTAGAAGTTTAACTTCTTATTTTCCATTCTTTTTACTTGTGTTGGACTATCACATCGAAATCAGAAGAAAAACATTGAAGTGTGTGGTTTTAACATCACAATATCATAAAAAACGGTTGAATGCATTTGTAGGACACTCTCCATTTATTGTGAAAAAACATCAAACGGTCTAATTATCAATCACAAGGTTTAACAAATAAGAAACTTATAAAAGGAAATATTTTCTCAGTTGATAAGCTTCCAGATTTGAGGTTATATATGAGTTTTAGCTTTGGTACTTGTGTATTTGATTTTCCATCCCTTGTTTTTCCCACTAGAGTCAGACCTGAATGCTACATGAACTTGATAACTTCCAGTATCTATGGAGTCTGGTGGTATTGAGCCACAGAACGGTCCATACTCCTGTCCAGTTGTTGAAATCTAAAGAAATTAGACAACCAAAACAAACACACAAAAAAAAGCTTATTGTTAAATCAATAAATAGCTGACTGATGCCATTCAGTGCTAAATTCAAATATGCAAGAAAATGCATAAAGTAAATCAGCTGGAAGAGACCTCAGTGACACTCCATCTTTAAAGCCGTGAGGAGGAATACATTCCTTATTCATCGCCTTGTATAAATAAACACGTGCAAGACTGACCTTTAACATATCATATGGACAGGGGACATCAGGATGTCCCTCTATATTAAAGGGTTCCAAGAAGTCAAGGATGATTCTGGAGCCCTCTGGCAGACTGATAGTGTGGTCACAGTGGCTCATGGGTGGGTAGGGTTGTGGGTAAGAAGGACTGGTCAGTACTCCAGATGCTGATGTCAAGTAGTTGACCTTTGCAGGGCACTGTTGACAATAGGAAATTAAAAAAAGCAAAAAATATTTGAAAGACTTGCTATACCTTTCCAGAGGGTTTAGACACCAAGTATCCAAACCTCTGTGCATGATATTCACTTCTTCAGATTTGCTTTTCCATCAACCGCTTAGTTATTATGCGTTTTTAAGCAAGAAAAAAAAAAAACTCCCTCCACCAGCTGCATAAATGATGAGATTCATTTTGATCTGCGTTATTGCCCTGGTAAAGCGTGCAGATGAAGCTATGGACAAAAAAACAAATGAGATTCTGCAAAGAGGCTGAGTTGCTGTAATTTTATATAATTAGTACAATCTGTAGGCAGATAATCATTTTTGTCTATTCATTGCATGATTTGTTGTGCCACCATTTTTCCTCTGGCAAAGTATAATAATTTAAGGCACATCAGCTAGTAATTGTGATTAATTACCTGGTGCTGGTGCGCTGTAAGTGCTGCGCACAGGTATCAATTTTTATAGCCATTTTGAAGTTGCTTCTCCCTGAGGATTCGTGTGTGATTAACCTCACCGTGCACCAGCTGCCAGAGATCAGCAACTTCATGCATCAGTATTTCTTTTAAGCCTAAAATTACCACCCAATACATTATGAAATCCAAAATCTTACATGAACAGCACCCCACAT